TTTAAATATTTCCTGCCAACTTCTCTCTCTCTCTCTCTCTCTCTCTCCTTACTGAAGGCAAGTTCTTGTGCCTGCCACATCATGAGGCCAAACAAACCAGGATGTTGGAGTTTGGAGCAGAGAAAGGTTTACTGCAGGGCAGAGCAAGGAGGATCGGGTGGCTCATGCCCAAGAAAACTCAAAACTCCTGGAAGGGTTTCAGCAAAGCATATTTAAAGGCCAGGTGAGGGAGAGGGGTTGCAGATACATGATCAGCTCATGCACAATTCTCTGATTGGTTGCTGGTGAGAGCAGTCAACACTATTAGGCTCTGGGTACCAGAAGGTACCATGTGCTCTCTATCATCAAGTAGTTAATTTCTTCCCTTTGGTGGTGGTTTTTAGCATCTAAAAAAAACTCAGGAAATATACATGAGATATTATTATCAAAGAAGATCTACAACAGAGAATATAGGGGAAGAATCTGTCCTGGGATGTCCTCACAGTTTCTCTCTCTCTCTCCATCTAGCTAAAAAGGAAACCTCATTGAGGGAGAAAAAACTGTTTAGTTTCACTTTATCAGTAAAGTAAGTTCCTCTTCCCACCATGGGTATGAAGTGTCAGGGATATTTTATGTCCCAGGACAAAAATCAGGGCGCGATTTCTCTTTCAGAATGACTAGCTGAGCATCCCATTGCAAGGGGAGCACGTGGGGAGGCTGTGGGGGTAGAGGGCAGGGTAGGAGTAGGTGCCAGGACTGTGGTTCAGCAGAAGGAGCCAGAACTTTCCACTGGTCATGTCGTTTTGGGCAGAAATTCCAAAAGACAGTGTAATGGAACGCAGAGATGAACAATCAGTTTAAGAAGCTGTACAAATATCAATGGTAGTCATTGCTGAGGGTTTTTGCTGAGCACCTGCCGTGTGCCAGGGACACCAACGGAATTCTCTTGTTTAATCCTCATGGCAACTGTAATTTCCTCAGTAAGAAGACTGAACCTGTAACAGGGAAGAGCAAATCTGACTCCATATGAGATCTGTTCGTTTGGCTCTAACCCTATGTACTGTTTTCTGGGCTTCATCATGATGGTTCTGTACCTTTTGTAAAAGGATGTTGCCTGGAGCCTGAAATAGACAGGAGAGCCCATTCTCAAGACTCTGACCTTTAACAGTGTAACACTTTCCCATTCATATAAAGATAAAAAGTTGCAGGACAGGAAATAACTCTGTCTTGTTGGAGGTTTACAGGAACACCGTCACCTGACCTACATGGACAGCTGCAAGAACAAAACATTCCAACACCAAGAAGTTTGCAACAACTAACCACACCCCCTCCCCTTTTTAGTATAAAAGGAGCCTGAATTCTGACATGGAGAAGATGGCTCTCCAGGACATGAGTCCCCCATCTTCTCTGTCTGCTGGTTTTCTGAATAAAGTTGTTATTCCTTGTCCCAACACCTCACCTCCCGATTTATTGGCCTGTTGTGTGGCAAGCAGAATGAGTTTGGACTTAGTAACAAGTGGGCATCTCAGGGAACCCAACCTGTGCTACAAACTGCAGAGATAAGATTGAATGTCACCCAGGCCCATGATTTCTGCCCTGAAAGAGGACATAAAGGAGTCAGATCATCTTTTCTTTTGGAGCAGTCACTGGGCTGTGCCCAAGGAACTTACATGTATGTGGCAGGCAACCCTGTCTGGGTCTGTCCTCTACTGGCTTTGCCATATCTTTGTCCTTGACTGTCTCAGCACCCAGAGAAATGACACCTTGAGCAGACAGATAGTTATGTCGAAAATAATATATGAACAATGCTTATTCTTTTATTGAAGAGGGATCCATTACTTGGTCTCTGTGTCTTGGTCTCTCCAAATTTAGATCTTATTTTAATTAATAGACTCAAAGTAAGACATAAAACCCATCTGGGTTTATCTTTATATAACCGTCTGATTTCAAAAACATTGTTTGAGTTATATATTGTCAGATTCGCATGATAAGTAGTGAGGATTTAGTTAGACACCTTAAAAGATGAAATTTCACTGCTACTATCTTTAATTCATCAAATCATCTTAGGATCAGTTTCGGTACCACTAAACCCACCTATGGTAGTAGACCAGAAAACTTAACAGTCTCATGCTTTGTATATATCCATTACTATCATTTTAAAATTTCTATTTTATAAAGTAATCTTAAATAATTTACTATGATACACTTATAGAAAATTAAAGATATCCTAAGTATCTTAATTTCAATGTTTTCTATTCTTATCTTTATTGTATCATTGACTTTCTTCGGATTTAATTTGCTGCTCTTTCTCTAGAATATTGAGGCATTCTTAGGTAATCCATTTTTACCTTTTAGTTTCTTTTTTGATATGTACATTTAAGGTTATATATTTTCATCTGAGTGCTTTAAAGCTGCATCCACACATTTTGATATGATATTCTTCATTTCTTTCAGTTCTAAATATTTTCCAATTTCCTTTGTGGAATGAAATTTGTTTTCCTTGACCCATGAATTATTTAGAAGTTAACTGCTTAAATCTGAAGTACCTGGGGGTTTTCTTGCTGTTTTGTTTTGCTATTGATTCTTAACTTTATTCCAGTGTGGTCAGAGAAAATGGCCTGAATGGTTTCAAGTTTTTGAAATGTTTTGAATCGTGCTTTATTACTCAACAGAATGATAATACCTTGTAATACTCCAGTAGTATTTAAAAAGAATACATGCTCTGTTACTGATAGGCTGAGTATTCTATACTCGTCAAGTTAGTTGCTTTGCTCTTAAATGATGTGGCTGGGACTGAAACATTGGCATTCCAATACTGGAGTCCATAAATTTAACTGTTAAATTCTTCTGTCTCTCACAAAGTTCCAGGGTAAATTCCAAGATAAGTGCTTCACTCCAAGGCACAAAATCAGTAATCCTGTGCTTGGAAACATGGAGCTTGGTGGGAGCCCCTTTGATGACCTTGGTAAGAATCATTGCACAGTCTGTATTTAGGGAAACATTGACCAGCAAGGCAGCCCTGAAATGCTGGAGATACGTAAAGTCTGAAAAATAGAATTCACTCACAACATCCTCTGTATTAGCTCCTATACTGCTGTAACAAATTACCATAAACTCAGTGGCTTAAAACAACACAAGTTTATGATCTTACAGTTCTGGAAGTCAGAAGGATGACATGGGTCTCACTGGGCTGCGTTCGGTTCAGGTAGCTGAGGGAGACGATCTTTTCCCTCACCTTTCCCATCTTTGAGAGGCCACCTGCCTTCCTTGCCTTTTTGCCTCTGCCTGCCTCCATCTTCAAAGAGTGCAATGTTTGCCCAAGTCTTTCTCATACTGCTGTGTCTCTGCCTATCTCTTCCACTTTTAAGGATTCTTGTAATTATGTTACTGAGTCCAAACTTGTTTTGCTCACCACATAACAGTCCAATAAATTGGGAGACAAGGTGTTGGGGCAAAGAATAGCGACTTTATTCAGAAAGCCAGCAGACCGAGAGGATGGCAGACTGTCTTGGAGAACCATCCTCCTCCAGTCAGATTATAGGCTCCTTTTATACAAAAAAACAAAAAACAAGCAAACAAACAAAAAAAACCAAGGGAGGGGGTGTGGTTGGTTTTTGCAAACTTCTTGGTGTAGGAATTCTTTGTTTCTGCAGCTGTCCACGAGGGCCAGGTCATGATGCTCCTGCAAAACCTCCAAGAAAACAAATGTTCTCTACTCTGCAACTTTGTTATCTTTACGTGAGTGCAGCGCTAGCAAGACTAAGCCTAGGAAACAGGGCACAGGGATCAAAGCCAAAGGAACAGATCCAATGAAGAGTCAAGATTCGTTCTCCTCTATTACAATTACACTGGATCCACCCAGATAATCCGGGCCAATCTCTCTACTTTGAGGTCAGCTGATTAGGAACCTTAGCTCCATCTGCCACCTTAATTCCCCTTTGCCACCTAACATGTCACAGGCTCCAGGCAGTAGGACCTGCACATTTGTGGGGGCCATTATTCTACTTACTGTGTTCTCTCCCATAGGAAGTCTTCCTTTTGCACTGGGATTACAAATAGCCAAGAATCCTATGAAAAATTCTTATCCCCACTAGTCATTACGGAAATGTAAATTAAAACAGAAATCTCAATTTTTCATCTCCTGTTAAAAATCAGACGGTCAAATATTTGTGGGATAAATGAATTGCAGTTAAGAATGTGAAAATGCATCTAGACTACTGGGACTTCCAAGCACATCACAGAGGCAGGTGTTTCAGAAAATCTGATACTGGACGTCCCTGGTGTAGGGACATTTCAGGCTTCAGGAATAGTCATCAGCATTGTGTGGCCCTGGACCTGGGTACCCTGAGCCAACCAAGACCCAGGCCCAAGCAGGACACACCCAGAGGCTTCCAGGGGACACCATGGGAAGCATATCTGTATTTTTCCTACTGAGAGTGGATGACCCTCTGAAGTACAGCATTTTAGAACTTCTCACCCTTCTGCAAGTCCTCCCCATGAATAAAACTGAAGAAACCAAACAAAACCTCTTACAAAAAGATCAATTCTAGGCAGTGGCCAGTCTTATTTGTTATGTATACAGTTTTTAGCCTCAGCACTTTTATTTAAAAATTAAAGCAAATCCTTCCCTATATTGTGTTAAAGACCACTGCGTGGTATTGATTTTCTTTTTATAATAAACCAGGCAAAAGTGGATGCAGGAAAGAAACATTCCACTCCTAAAGTAAACTGTATGCAATGCAATTGGATTTCCTCCAATAATTCTGTTTTAAAATATATGTTTGATAAGCAGAATTCCCAGCAGAAAAAAAAACATTCTGGAAGAATTAATGTCACATGGGGATGGAAGTGAAAGCTGAAAAACACGACTTAAGATTGATGCTAACAGTAGGGACCATGTTCATGAAGTGCTCCCCACTCCCAGTCCCCTCCCCCTATTTCTCTTCTTCCTCTTGGATTCATCTGGCGGCCCCCATAATTCAATAGGTTGTAGATTTTATTACACACTGAACCTCGCACAGGGAAGACCGTCATTTGATAACTTGTATAGAAAGGAAGCGCATTTCAAGAATCCACAGGAGCTTGGCGGGTGTTCTACATCCAGTGCCCTGGAAGAGGCTCCCTGAACCTCTGTCTGGATGCCCCAGAATGGGAATCTGGCTGGACAAGAGCAAGGAGGTGGGAAGACATGACCAGCGGGATCTCAGGACGCTATAGAAATGGAGAAGATGAAGACCACGCATTCCAAGGCCTTTCTGATGTCACGGGAACCAGGAGCAACTACGCGAACCAGGCAAAGAGAACGTTAACGCGCTCACCTGCTACCCTGCCGCCCGGAGCCCACGCCCCCGAATTGGATGGGACAGTGATTCCTCCTGGGGGTCCAGCCTCCCAAGTCAAGGGCGCAATGGGCGCTGCTGCGGGGGATGGTCTTGCCCCAGGGTGACACCCAGCTGTGGGGGCGTGGCTTCTGGCCCCTTAGGTGGTGGCTGCACAGGACGCACCAGGCTGGTTCCAGGGAGCTCAGCGCCCGTGCGCGGGCCAGGTTGCTCTGCCTGGGCCACCTGCGGACAGAGAGCAGGCTGGAGTTACGGACGCCCACCTGCCCGGGGGAGCGGAGCCCCCGCCTAAATCCCGGAACCTAGAAGCCAAGGAGCTGTCTGGCTGGAGACATCTGCATGGGAGTCGGTTCAGGAATGTTGGATGCTGTTGGCATTTGTCACTCTCCTACCAGACTCTGGCCACCCTCCCTCTCTCCTTGCCTTTAGACCCGAGCACCGCTCATTGTGAACTCCAGTGGTCCCATGTTGTGTGCTGGCTTGATCTGATTTCCAATCCGCTGATCTTGATCAAAGAAGGAAGTTGTTTTCGTCTCAGAGTGGGTTCGTTTAAAACCAAAGAAGCTGTGTCAGGATGTTGTGATCAACACGTCTCTGTATCTTTAAGCACTCAGCTGAGCTGTTCACTGGGCATTGCTGGGGGCTTGTCCAGAAGAACATGGGAGGAGGGACTCTGCTAAGGGGACGTTTAAGCTTTAAATACATGGAGTAGGTGAGGACCGACTGAGAATGTTTGGTCTGGGCAGGGCTATCGGTTGCTGACGTAAATAGCTCTCTAAAGACCTTGGGGCATGGCTCCTGCCTAGGAGAGATGACTGCAGGCAGCGGCAAAAAACCATGCAGTGGCTCCATGAAGGAGATCACCTGGCTGGCCAGCACCTGAGCCTTTGTGCCCTAGCAACATACCCTAACAACAAGGGACATTGCTTTGTGCACGCAGCTGGGTGTCAGCTCTCCATTGGCTAAGCTGACTCTTCTGAGAGCCAACTCGTAGAAAGATGTATCTCCACTAAATTTGGATTTTATTTCTTTCATCTCCCTGTAGCCTGGAGCAATCATGTGATGAATCTGTTATTGGTTTGGAGTATGTTATTTTTTTAAATTGGTTCATTAAGAGACATTATCCTTTATGCTATTGGCTTGTAAAATGATTATAATTCCTGCAATGAACCTGTGTTAAATCAATTATTGGCAAAGACAACCTCAGTCTCTGAGCATAATTTGCTGCCAAACTGTCAATTGATAGAATTGGAAGGATCTGACCCACGGTAAGAGTAATTAATATGGGTCGGTGCTGTGGGATATACCATATTCCAGGTCAAATTTGAAATACAGGTTGACGGGTTATGTTAATTTGTAATTGACCAAAATCTGGTACATCCCATTACTGGATTGACAAACTTTAAACTTAATATACTATTTACCATCTATGACATTTTACTGAATTTATAAATAGCCTGGGAATAGACAAAACTGATAGAGCTGTGATAGTTTGGATGCTAACATTGGCCACAATACTTATTTTCATATTGCTTTACCATATTATAAATGATTTGGAATGCTCTATTCAGCATCTCTGTAAGAAAACATTTTGAGCATTGTTGTGAAAGGCTGGAGGCCAATAGCATAGTGGTTGTGCCTCACTCACCAACCTAGTCAAGAAGTGGTTTGGGGTGGATTGGATTATACGCTAACTCCTGAGGACCCCTGGGTATCTATTGAAGACTTAGTCTGGACAAAACTGAAAATTAAGCAGCACTATTTACAAAGCCAAGATGTGGAAACAACTTAAATGTCCATTGACAGATGACTGGGTAAAGAAGTTGTGTTTTATTTATACAATGGAATACTATTCGGCCACAAAAAGGATAAACTAATGCCATTTGCAACATGGATGGGCCTGAAGATTGTCATTCTAAGTGAAGTAAGCCAGAAAGAGAAAGAAAAATATCATATGATATCACTCATATGTGGAATCTAAAAAAAAAAAAAGGACACAAATGAATTTATTTACAAAACAGAAATAGACCCACCGACATAGAAAATAAACTTACGGTTACTAGGTGGGAAGGGGGTGGGAAGGGATAAATTGGGAGTTCAAGATTTTCAGATACAATACTCCTATATACAGAATAAACAACAAGGTCCTACTGTATAACACAGGGAATTATATTCAATATCTTGTAGCAACTTATGGTTAAAAAGAATATAAAAATGAACATATGCATGTATATGTGTGACAGAAACAGTATGCTGTACACTAGAAATTGACACAACATTGGAACCGACTATACTTCAATTAAAAAAAAACCTTAAAATTAAGGAAACTCCAGGTGTTGGCCATATCACTCAGCCTGTTGAGTTACATTCTATATTAAAAGGAGCAAATAAGAAAGAAGTTACCTTTTGCTCTGAACGGCACCAATCTGTACCCTGAGGACAAAGATTATTGTAACTCTTGTGACCTGGCAACTTTAACCTACTAGAAGCTAGGCCTATGAGAACACACAAAACCAGAACAAATGGCAATCTGGAACCAATCAGAGTCCCTCATCAGAAAGCTTACACTAGATAAGAAATGACAAAAATTAGAATGGAATTCCAACAACCTGTTTTGGGCACAGAGATCCAGTTGCTTTTAGATTTCTGGCCCAAAGGAGGACACAGCCTGAACCTCACAGGAGCAGAAATTGTGCAATTCAAACCCATCACCACTGATGTTAAATTTAATCAACACCATAGAGTATTTGGGGAAAATTATATTAACTTTCAAAGATCTTTCATTGTGGGTAGCAGCAGCCTGGGGATTTAGAAGGCTTATATGTAATATGTTATGTCTTAAAACATCTAAATGGGAAACAGCAGGGGAAGCTACTAATATAATGACTATTGGCTATGATTTATTTTAACTTAATTTTTTTTAAATGGAGGTGCTGGGGATTGAACCCAGGACCTCATGCATGCTAAGCACGGGCTCTACCACTGAGCTATCCCCTCCCCTCTTAGCTATGATTTATGAAGGGAACAGATATCTTCACCTCTCCATGTGGAAGCAACAGAACAAGTTATGAAGGTCATCCTCAGAGCTGCACCCCCACAAGACCGAGCAGCACTATTTACAGGTACCGGAAACACAGGAGAACTAAGATTTCTCTCAAACAGCATCATGCTTCATGGGTAAAAAGAAGCCTATTTAAAATATACTTATGCATAAACCAAAGGAACAACACGAAATAAAACAGGAATGGATAGATACACTGATTGACACAATTATTGTATGGACATGTCATCAAAAGTCACCAAAAGGGACTTGCACTGATGTACACAGCACTAGAACATGGTTGAAGAAAAGAAACATGTATGTATGTACCAAATATGTCCAGTTTCAAAGTAAGAAATGTGAGGATTGCTGAGACTTTAAAGCTTGGAGGTCATTAAGATAAGGTCAAAGCTGACAGACCCTTACAAATTATGCAAACCTTGATTATATAGGACCCTTCCTGATAGCAGAGAATAAACTCTAAGTACATGCACTGTTGTAGACACATGGTCAGGAAAATGATCACTCTAATCCTGTAGGAAAAGTGATTGAAAAATTCCACCACGAGGACATTGGAAATCTGGATTGCCTGTTATGACATTTCAACCATCGCAGGATGTAACCAGCAAATCCACTTCACAGGAACAATAATACAAGATTGGGCCAAAGAACAGGGTATTATATAGAACGTCCCCTTCCTACAGCTATCCCTGGATGGATTGGGAGGTACAATGGCTTATTTAAGCAAAAGCTCAGATGTCTTACTAATAATCTAGGTATGAAAGCTTGGACTAAAGCAATATGGGAAGCAGCAAGGTCATTAAACCATGGATACAGAAGTAATGGTGAAGGGGCAAAAACCCACAAAGGGACCAGCAAGCCCTCCCAGGCAGGGCCATTGTCTTTCCGCTTTTGTGCCTCTATAAAATGGCTTGCTTCTAGGAAAATGGAAACTTACCTCTAAAATGCCATTGGTTCCCAAAAGCTCACTCCTGATTGGTCCATTTCTAACACCTCATTTGCATTTACCCCTAAAATTCTATTGGTTCCCCAAAGCTCACTCCTGATTGGTCCATTTCTAACACCTCATTTGCATACAGCACAAACTTGATCGGAACCTAAAACCCTATAAAAGCCTGTGTAAACCTACAGATGGGGTCCAGAGCTTGAAGTATTAACTCCTCTGGGCCCACTGGCATAATAAGTCTGAGTTCTCCAACCCTCCGAATGTTGCTTAGTCTCCCAACGGGATTCAGGTTGCTGTGACAATAGTTAAACACCTAGAGGATCCATACTGTATCTATGCACAGAAATAAAAAGAAAATCACTAGTAGCACTCCAAACACTAAGTTCGAGTTGAAATTCTTAATTAAAAAACAAAAGGGCCTGTATAATATTGGTGAACTTACAAGTATCCGCCACTAATAGAACCTTCTGAGTGACTAAGGGAAAAAACACATCACATCAAATTAAAGAAATTTTGTATCAGCTGATATAAAATTATCGGATTGAAGAATACCATCTTCTACTGCAGCAACTCTAGATGCAGGAGCTCAAAGTGAAAACTGATACTTACTCTGTATACAATGGCAGAACACATTTTGTACAGCATCATTACTGGGTGCCTAATACTTAGCCTAGCATGGTGCAGAG